TCAGACTGTATAGAGTTAGGAAGGCCAAACCGAGGAATTATGTCTGACAAAAGGGAAGAAATGACCGTGGTGGCCTTGTCAGACCGTGTGGGAAAGGCCTCTACCTATCCAGTGGAAGTGTCTACCCAGACCAAGATGTATTGTAGTTTTCTGACTCGGGGCATGTGAGTAAAGTCAATTTGCCAGTCCTGGCCGGGGCAAATCCCCGAGCTTGATGTGTAGGAAAGGGAGGGGGCCTGAACAATCCCTGAGGGATAGTAGAATAGCAGATGGAACACTGAGAAGTGATCTCCTTGAGGATAGGTTTCCAGGATGGAAAGGAAATGAGAGGTTCTAAGAGATAGGCTAGCGGTTTGTAAGCTAGATGGAAGAAGTTATGAAATGACGACAGAATAGAATGGGCCTCTGAGGCTGGAAGGAGATATTTTCCTTAGTCTAAGAACCATTTGCCTCGTGTGGGAAGAGATTGTTAGGTGGAAGTTTCAGCGGGGGAGTAGGTGGGAGTGGCCGATGTGAAGGAGGAAAACTGCTGTGAGGGATAGAAGTTGGAACGCTAGCTGCTTTTTAAGCTAACTTATCAGCATAAGCATTGTCCTGAGCGATGGTTGGGGGAAGAAAATAGATTTTGGAAGTTACGAGAACTGTAGAGAGTTGAGCGTAGTTTGTGATTTCTAGGGCCTGTAACAGTATTAAAGCAGTGGCAGCTGCTGCGCACAGACATAGACATGAGGGCTAGGCTAAAACAGTAAGGTCAAGTTGTTTGGACAGAAAGGCTACAGGACGCAGTCCTGGCTCTTGTGTAAGAATTCTGTCCGTACTAACCATGCCTAGGAAGGAAAGGAGTTGTTGTTTTGTAGAAGGGATTGGGGTTTAGGAGATTAGCCGGACATGATCAGCAGGGAGAGCACATGTATTTTTATGAGAATTATGCCAAGATAGGTAACAGATGAGGAAAAAATTTGGGCTTGACTGAAGTAATGGGGGCTGTCTGTGAGGCCTTGCAGCAGTACAGCCCAGGTAATTTGCTGAGCCTGATGTGTGTGAGGGTCAGTCTAAGTGAAAGCAAAGAGAGGCTGGGATGAAGGGTGCAGGGGAATCGTGAAAAAAGCATCTTTAAGATCAAGAACGGAATAGTGAGTTGTGGAGGAAGATATTGAGGACAAAAGAGTTGTACGGGTTGGGCACCACAGGATGGATAGGCAAAACAATTTGGTTGATAAGGCGCAGATCTTGAACTAATCTGTAAGACTTGTCTGGTTTTTGGACAGGTAAAATGGGGAAATTGTAAGGAGAGTTTATAGGTTTTAAAAGGCCATGCTGTAGCAGGCGAGTGATAACAGGCTTTAATCCTTTTAAAGCGTGCTGTGGGATGGGATATTGGCATTGAGTGGGGTAAGGGTGATTGAGTTTTAATGGGATAGTAATGGGCATGTGATTGGTTGCCAGGGAACGAGTAGAGATGTCCCACACTTGTGGGTTAAGGTGGGGGGATACGAGGGGAGGATGTGAAGGAGGCTTTGAACTGGGAGAACAGGCGGCAGTGAGGTGTGGCTGTAGCCTAGGAGTAGTCAGGGAAGCAGATAATTTAGTTAAAATGTCTTGACCTAATAAGGGAGCTGGACAGGTGAGGATAACTGTGTCCAAATTGGCACCAGAGTTGGGGAGTTTTAAGAGGTTTAGAAGCCTGGCCATCAATACCCACAACAGTTATGGAGGCAAGGGAAACAGGCCCTTGAAAAGAAGGTAATGTGGAGTGGGTAGCCTCCGTATTGATTAAGAAGGGGACGGACTTACCCCCCCACTGTAAGAGTTACCCAAAGCGTCTCTGATGGTCCAGGCGGCTTCCGAGGCGATGGGGCAGCGTCAGTCTTCAGCCGCTAACCCGAGAAGATCTGGGAAGGAGTCAGTCAGAGAGCCTTGGGCCAAAGCTCCAGGGGCTCTGGGAGGGCTGCCAGGCGAGTTGGACTGTCCGATTTCCAGTGGGGTCCCGCACAGATGGGACATGGCTTAGGAGGAATCCCGGGCTGTGGGCATTCCTTGGCCCAGTGGCCAGATTTCCGGCACTTGTAGCAAGCTCCTGGGGGAGGAGGTTCTGGAGGAACCCCTGGCAGCTGCGGTTGAGGCGTTTGGAGTTGTGTGGTGGAGATGTGACTGGGGTTTGTCTCACAGTGGAGGCAAGGAATTGCAACTCAGAAATAAATTGGTACTTGGCTGCCTCTACTCCATTGTTGTACACCTTGAAGGTGAGGTTCATTAAGTCCTGTTGTGGGGTTTGAGGGCCGGAATTTAATTTTTGGAGCTTTATTTAATGTCGGGAGCAGATTAGGTAATACAATAAAATGCATATTAAGAATAAGACAGCCTTCTGACCTTTCAGGGTCTAGGGCTGAAAAGCGTCTCAGGGTTGCTGCCATGAACTGGGCTCGGGTTTTCTTGTTTGGTGAAAAAGAGCCTAAACGCTAACTGATTTGGGAGAAGTCGGATAAAGAAAAAGGAACATTAACCTTGACTATGCCTTTAGCCCTAGCCACTTTTTTAAGAGGAAATTGCTGGGCAGGTCGGGGAGGGCTAGTCGCAGAACGAAACTGTAAGCCAGACCGGGTGTGAGGAGGGGAGTGATAAAAGGATTACAGGGTAGGAGAGCGGAGTCTGAGGAAAAATTGGGACCTAGCTCGGCCTGGCGAGGAGGGGAGAGGTCAGATGGGTCTGTAGAAAGGAAGATTAGAAAGACTCAGTGACGCTTGGGGTTGGGACTGAGGGGACAGGCGGGAGGGAAAGAAGGAAGATTTGGGATGAGTTGCATTGGGAACAGAGACTAGGGAGGGACCAATGTGTAAAAGAATGCCTGGACGTCAGGCACCTCAGACCGTTTGCCTATTTTATGACAAGAATTATTTAGATCTTGTAGGATGGAAAAATCGAAAGTGCTGTTTTCTGGCTATTTGGAACTACTGTCGAGTTTGTATTGGGGTTAAGTGGCATTGTAGAAGAAAATAAGGCATTTAGGTTTTAGGTCAGGTGTGAGTTGAAGAGGTTTTCAGTTCTTGAGAACACAGGGTAAGGGAGAAGAAGGAGGAATGGAGGGTGGAAGGTTGCCCATAGTGAAGGAGGCAAGCCCAGAGAAAAGAGAGAGTAGAGACACAGAGAGGAGGAGTTTGGGGGTTCTTGCCCTCCAGAAAAGCGGGAAAGGGTTCGGGGCGCTGAAATAAGGGATTGGGGCGCAAAAATAAGAGGTTGGGGCGCAAAAATAAGAGGTCAGGGTTATTGCTCCTCCCGTAGAAAAGCAGAGAAGGGGTAGAAACAGGGAGAGAAGGGGTCGGGGTGCTTGCCCCTTCCCCAGAAGAGCAGAGAAGGGGTAGAGACAGGGAGAGAAGGGGGTCGGGGTGCTTGCCCCTCCCCCCAGAAAAGCAGAGAAGGGGTAGATGACCAGGGGGAGAGAAGGGGGTCGGGGTGCTTGCCCCTCCCCCCAGAAAAGAGAGAAAGGTAGAGACAGGGAGAGAAGGGGTCGGGGTGCGCTTGCCCCTCCCCCAGAAAGAGTGGCGGCTTTGTCGCTGGAGGCTGGGAGAAGGACCAAGCGGCAGGCCGTCCTGCAGCGCTGGTCGACACCTCTGAAACGTGGAGATGAGTAATCAGGAGAGGGTGTGCCTGCAATGATTAAACACCAAGGGAGGCCTGCTTCCCCAGGTTCCTGTGACCGGCGCCGGCGTTTTGGGTCCCCACGGACATTAAACGTGTCTCCTTTGTCTCTACCGAGAAAATGAAAGGGAAAAATTGAAATTAAGAGGAAGGGAGAGATTGTTGAAGGGTGGCGGCCAAGATTGAAAGGAGAAGAGGGTGGAGGATAGTGGAGAGAGGGTTGGAGGAAGACGTAAAAAAAGGGCCACTTACCCGATTTAAAAATTGGTGAGATGTTCTTGGGCTGGTTGACTGAGGACTAGAAAGGTCATAGAGTGGGATCTTTCTCATGGGGGAGCAAAGAGCAGGAGGACAGGGGATTGATCTCCCGGAAGGGAGGTGGCCCTGATCCGAGTCAAAGAATTTAGAAGATGAAAATTTGTTCACACAGATCAGTATGAAAGCTTTCCCTTCCTTTTTATAGGGAACGGTTTAGTAAATAGATTGTCTTTGGGTTATTGATAAAACATTATATAGGTACTCAACCCTTTGCCTGTTTTGAAAATGGAGTGGAGGCGGTGCATGGCTGGCTCACATTTCCTTTAGTCCAACTAACGTTGTGGGAAGGCTGAGGTGGAGCGATCCTCTTGAGCTCAGAGGTTAGGCTGGAGGCTGGCAGGAGCTGTGATCACGTTGGTGTGGTGACAGAGCGAGACCTTGCTCTTTAAAAAAAAAAAAAACAAGGAGAAAAGTAAAAAAACAGGGGAGTTATATAAATATAAATTATATAAATAGCCGGTTCCTATTTGGAGTTCAGAGGTCCAAAGTTAGGATAAGTGTTGATGCATGTCTGTTTCATACTGCAAAAGGAGTCAATGATATTTAAAGCACAAGATGTTCATGCCTAGGTGATGATTGGCATGATACTATTTTTCTTAAATACTAAAATTTGTTTTAGGTTTATCTTGTGCATTTACTTTGAATTATAGCTACCTTCCTGGCAGTACTAAATATAAAATTAAATCCAATTCAAGAAGCAGAAAGAACCAGAGAAAGAACGTAGATACAAGCAAGAGAGAATAGGATAACATAAGCTGAGCATTTTCATATTCCTGAAGAATCGATTTTTAATTTTAGATTTGACCATAGAATTTCTGCTAGTAAATATTCTTATTTCTGGGCTGGAATACCTCTCTAAGTTGATTGGAATTTGTACCATCTGATCACTGTTATTTTGGTATTTTAAAAATATATTGTAAATATATTGTAATTTATGATAGAGTTTTAGGACTTAAAACATCTTGGATACCATATTTTACAGTAATAACGTCATATATGTTAGATACAAGTATTTTTCCTAAAAATCTTTTTCCCTTCCTTTACAGAATGCTGCCTTTTTATATGGTCTTGGTTTGGTCTACTTCCATTATAATGCATTTCAGTGGTAAGTTGACATAAAGCCAGTAATTCAGTTGTTTTCAGTAAATGGCTTGTTTTGTTTGTGCTTGATTTTTGTGTGTGTGTGTGTAATAAATACAAAATTTGCTGTCATTAAACTTACACTTTTCAGTAATCTCTTGAAATGATTAGATTGTTCCTTGAAGGGTATTGACTCACCTTAGATTTTTAGAGTTGTATGTTTTCCTGAAAGAATCTAGTATAAGATTCTGTTGAAGAAGGCTTAGATTAGAAAGCTTTTTGGAATTTCTCAGTCATTCATTATGGACTGGTGTTCCCCAAGTTATTTGAACTGGCAAATCACTATGATCTCAGAAGTCAAGATATGTGGGTAAATGGTCTATGATGGCTAGTTTTCAGACTTCTAGACAAGATTGACCGCTTCTCCCTGCCACATACCAGATAGCACTTTCCAATATCCAGTAACTAGGCACCAACTCATAAACTCTTAGTTCTCTAGAATAGTACCACTTCAGAGTTGGAGATTAAATATAATAGTAACAATATGTAAGATTTTCTAAACTGTAAAGTGTAGTACCCTGTTGTGGCCTTTGCCCCATTGTTGTTTTTCTGTTTACCAGACAATAGTATGCGCTAATGGGGGAAAAAAAAATATATAAAAAATATATATATATATATATATATAGTTTTAGCTGAAAGATTGGTACTGTGGTCACAGCATTGCCACTTAGTTTGATCTTGAGTTAAATAACTTCTCTAGGTCTGTTTCCTCATTAGTTTTATTTTTATTTTATTTTATTTTATTTATTTTTTGAGACAGGGTCTCACTCTGTTGCCCAGGCTGGAGTGCAGTGGTGTGATTGCTGCTCACTGCAGTCTCAATCTACTGTGTTCAAGCAGTCCTTCCACCTTAGCCTCCCAAGTAGCTAGGACCACACAGGCACATGCCACCATGCCCAGCGAATTTGTTTTTATTTGTAGAGATAGGGCCTCCGCCTATGTTGCCCAGTCTGATCTTGAACTCCTGGCCTCAGGGCATGCTCCCACCTCCGCCTCCCAAAGTGCTGAGATTTACAGGCATGAGCCACCATGCCCGGCCTCCTCATTTGTTTAAAAAACAAAACTACATAGCAGTCACATGCCTTTCCTATAGAGTTTTGATGATCAAATGAGATACAGCACATTTTATGAAATGTAAACCCAATGTAGTTTCTTTTTTTTTTTTTTTGGTAGGGGGAGGGTCAGAGTCTTGCTCTGTCACTGGTGTGTAGTGGCACGATCTTGGCTCACTGCAACCTCTACCTCCCGGGTTCAAGCGATTCTCCTGCCTCAGCCTCCCAAGTAGCTGGGATTACAGGTGCCCGCCACCATGCCTGGCTAATGTTTTTGTATTTTTAGTAGAGACGGAGTTTTACCATGTTGGCCAGGCTGGTGTCGAACTCCTGACCTCAAGTGATCTGCCTGCCTCAGCCTCCCAAAATGCTAGGATTTACAGGTGTGAGCCACCACACCTGGCGGCATTTTTTTATTGTTAGCGTATCTGACCTTTTCAGAGTCCCTTCAGTGCTCCAGAATTTTAAGCTCCCGGGTGAATTCTGTGGGAGTCCAAAGGAAGGTGATTGAGTGTTTGGCAAAATGTTACAACTCTGTCATATATCTGTTGGGCACCCTGAATACTTATTACAGAACGTTTACATATGCATTGACAATGATTTTATATGGTTTCCCTAAAGAGGAGGCTTTATACATGGATGGTTTTTCCTAGTATCTTTTTTCTTAGCTTTTGGTCTTGTTGACTTTTGATCATGTGTTGAAGCACTGCTTTGTTAGAGAATACCTGTGTGTATATAGTGTATTACAATGATTTAGATCACTGGTTTTCTTTGTAAATCTTACAAAGGTATAATTGATTTTTATGAAGAAACTTTGTAATTTTATTCTCTCTTAAACTATCCTAAATAAAGTCTCCTAATTTAATGTTCAGTGTATTGTATTTAAAACCAAAAATAGATTAAGACTTTTAAAATCTTTCCGTTTCTTTAATAGCCTACTTATAGAATTCAGAATTCTAAACTTTTAGAATTAGAAGTGGTCTTAGAGGTAATTTAGTTTTTCCCCCTTAATTTTACCTTAATTTTGTAGATGGAGAAAGCAGGGGTGTGTGTGTGTGTGTCAGTCAGTATTACGTAACTCTTGAGTGGCAGAAGCAAGTTTATGCTCATATTCTCCAATCAAATATTTTATTGTACTCTGTCCCCAGGTTTTAAGATTGATAGGTGGTTATTATTTAATCAGTATTTGTCATTGTTCACTTGAGCACAATGATGTAATCTTTATGGCCAACTAGAAATAATTTTAGGTGAAACCTGAGGGGAGGAATTCTTCAGTTCTACCTCATACCAGCCAGTTTTCGCATACCTGTGGCAATTTGTAAGCCTCTCTATGTACTGGGGTTAAGAACATAAAATTAGTAGTGAGGTGAACCTGTCAATAGTTCAAATGTTGATTACTTTAATAAGCATATGGCCATGTTAAGTTAGCAAGCTTGTAGTTGTGATTCCTTATCTACATATGATTTCTATATTTTTCAGTTGACCTAAGAAATGAAACCGAATGATACAAGGACAATGCAATGTCTATATTAATAAGTGCCCCCTGCTCTGTTGATCCTGTCCTGGTTACCATCATTTTCTCATGTCTTGAGTTTCAATTCTTATAGCTGCTTCCTAAAATGATACGTCTCACACCCTATCTTATGAATTCACTCTGGCTGTGTTTTTCTCTTGTTAATCAAATGTTCTTTCACAAATTGTGCCTCACATTTTTGCTTTAACTTGCTATTTCTTTAACAGCTATAAAATTAGAAAGTATGGAGTAGGTGCTTGGTGATAGTTTTAGAGTACAGCCTTAATTGATTGGAGCTTATTTAGGTTAAAACTATGTTTGTGTTTTATTTGTAGATACTTACTGATTACTAGGATCAGGAATTTTTTGTCACATATCAGGTTCTTTGGGATTTATTGAGAAATATTTCTAGGGATGAATATGGGTTTTTGTTTTGTATTGTCAGTATGAAGAATCTGTCTATGATGTTTCAGAGTATTGTATCTCTGGTACATTTATAATTTAAGTAAAATGTGATATTTGCTAATTGTGTCTGTTGGCATTTGATGAGGTTAAGCATTTTATGATAGTATGTGTGACCAACGTGTGTCTCAGTTGGTGACTTAAAATGTTATTGAGAGCAATTTTATTAACTATAGTGTTATTGTTAACCTATTGTCATGTTATGCTACCTATTTTTTCTTTCAGAGTTGATTTTATTGGTTAGCCTCTAGATAGTACAATTATTTGGTCGGTTTTTCCAGTATCAGTTGCAGCCTCTTCTTAGACAGAGGAGACCATGCAACTGTTCCATCCTTACTGGACTTATGGTAACAGCTACTTTTACTCAGTAATCTGGGACCAAACTTAAAAGATGTTGGGAAGGATAAAGGAAGACATAGAAGCGGAGTGTAAAATATATGCAGCAGAGTGCTAGAAACCAGTCTTGCCATTCCTTTACATGTGCATGCATGCAAGCCCCTGCGTTCACTTGTTCTTATTCATTAAGGTGGCTAATTGCTAGGGGATACCTTGAACTGAGCTTCTTGCCTTTGGAAGGAAACCTATATCCTAGGGTGAGAGTAAGTGAAATACAAAGCAAGAAAAAGTTAGACTAAAAAAAGATAGCTGGGGGAAAAAATAAAGTCAGTACAATAGAAACCATTCTTCCTAATATAGCTTATAGCCATCTCTCTAAATATATCTTCCTAAGAATCTTTATTAACTATCTCTGTCCTGTAACCTTTTTCCTTCTTCCTGTTGATCAATATCAGAATGGTCTTATGGCAGCAAATGTAAGAGATACTGTGCTAGAGGCATAGGATTTTGGAAATTAAGCCCCCAAATATAATTGACAGGCTTAATAAGGAAATGTGATAATTATTACTTTCACATCAAAAAGGATTAGGAGAATGAGGTAGAAATGAATTCAGAAAGACAGAAATATTAACAAATTACTAAAGTTTTCTTTTTTCCTTTCTCTTCTTTTCTCTTTTCTTTCTTTTCTTTCCTTTTTTTTCTGAGAGTCTCAGTCTGTCACCCAGGCTGGAGTGTAGTGGCACAATCACGGCCCACTAAAGTCTCAACCTCCCAGGGCTCTAGTGATCCTTCTGCCTCAGCCTCCTGAGTAGCTTGGACTACAGGCTTGAGCCACTATGCCTGGCTAATTATTTTGTATTTTTTGTAGAGACGAGGTCTCACTGTGTTGCCCAGACTGGTCTCGAACCCCTGGGCTCAAGCAATCCTCCTGCCTTGGCCTCCCAAAGTGCTGGGATTATAGGTGTGAGCCACGGAGCCTGGTGTAAAGTTTCTGTAGGATTTATTTTCATAGCACTGTACTAGTCACAAGTGTTCTTAGGGGTGTAGGAATTTCTGCTCTCCTGTATAGTCACTGCTTTGGGTTCAGTAAAGAAAAAGAATAGTGGTTTTAATGATGTTCTTACAGCTTTTTGATGGAACGAAAGAATAATGCAGCATAGACCTAATGCATGGTGATACCATTGATTCTGAGGCTTGTCTAGCATGGAGCCTGGCAAACATCTAATTGTATTTTTGAGCTGTCATGATACAAACATGCTGTTATATTTCCATTGAAATTAAGCAGTTGATGTTAACATGTTTTGAGTTTATTATATATACTTTCATTTTGGAAAATAAGTAGCAGATTTAAGACAGTTCTGATAAAATTACACTTAAACAGTGATACTTAGATTGCCAGATAAATTTTGGAAGGGCTTTGATTAATTAGGCTTCTGGGAAATTGTGGATAAAAACATAAATCTTGCAATAGGGTAGGGGAAAGAAAATAATCCCACTCCTGAAGTGATGAAGAGGGGCTAGAGAGGGGAAAAGAACCAGGACAGGTGATATATTAGCAACTGTCAATGCGAATAACCCAGGGTATGATATTTCTAATTTAGCCTCACATTTAAGGTCATTTCTGATTGAACCTCAAATAATCCTTCTAGCCTACTGCTCCCCTAAATATTAATATATTCTTTGTGCCAGTCACACTGTATTAACGTTTCCCTGAAAACATCTGAAGCATTTTTTTTTACCTGTGTGACTTTTGCCTTCTTCCATCTCCATCTTTTAAAATCTTACCTGTCTCTTGCTTCATCAAATGTTTCTAATTATTTAGAGACAACTTCTAAATTTCCTAATACATATGTATATCTGTGTTGTGTATGTATGTGTTATAACTAAATTAGAGCTAAAATATTCTTTTGTTAGTATGAAAATTTGTGGAATTAGTTGATTTATCCCTTCATACATCTCTGTGAGAAATCTCCAGTTCAGCTTATTAGCCTCAGAGAACTTAAAGTTTTAATTAATTAATTAATTAATTTATTTATTTGAGACTGAGTCTCACTCTATCGCCAGGCTGGAGTTCAGTGGTGCAGTCACAGCTCACTGCAACCTCTGCCTCCTGGGTTCAAGCTATTCTTCCGCCTCAACCTCCCGAGTAGCTGGGACTACAGGCACGCACCACCACGCCCAGCTAATTTTTGTAGTTTTAGTAGAGATGGGGTTTTACCACGTTGGCCAGGATGGTCTGGATTTCTTGACCTCGCGATCCACCCACCTCTGCTTCCCAAAGTGCTGGGATTACGGGTGTGAGCCACCACGCCCAGCCAACTTAAAGTTTTATTATGTGTCTTTCCAAATGTACTGAAACTGTGCTAAGAATATTAAGACTATTATTTTTACTGTAGTTTTAGAGGAGGCTTTAAAAAATGACTTTGTAGAAATCTTATTAAAAATGACCATTGTGAAATATATTCAGCACATGTGTATGTTTTTTGTAAGTAGTGTTATTGAGGTTTTAGCTTTGTATCATTTTCTTTTTAAAATGATTGACAGTGGCAAACATTAAATGATAAAAACCTTGAAACTGAAAATCTATAGAAATTATTTTGATGATATAAAACTGTATTTTTCAGATTTTAAGAAAAATACCAATGATACCATGCAGAACAATGTGCATTTCTTTTGTTTCATTAGAGAATATGCTTTAAGGATTTGAAAACTGTAAACCTTTCCAGGGATTGTATCATAAACATATTTATGGTTTCTGGTAGCTATTTCTCATGTTCTAAAATTCTCTGTCAGAATTCTGAGGTTAGCATAAATTGAATGTGTTGATGATTTAGTCTAGTTTGTGCCATAGAGATCATGTTCTGGCCACCTGCATTTTGGTGAAATATGAATGCGGTAAGCTGATGACCAAAATTAGAATGTAGTCTGAGTGTTACTTATTTTCTCTACTCCCCCACTCCCTCAACTCTAACTCCAAACTCTTAACTCCAAATCCATCTTCCCTTCAACTTCCTTCTCCCCCTCCCCCAGTGTTTTTATTTCTTATTTATTTACTTATTTGTTTTTCTTGGGATGGAGAAACCTGAAGATGCACAGAGGAGAGGAGCATGGGTAAAAGTGTAGAAAAGGAAATGAATTTACATGTTCGAATAATGTGTTTTAGATGAGAAGAACTGATCAGTAAAGAAGTCCCATCAATTAACTGTAAACGTGATGGTACAAGTAAACATCTATTACATTTGAACCCTCTGCTGTATTATTTTAGGATATTAAACATAGAAGAGAAATACAGGCCTCAAGGAATACACTTGGAAAAACTGGAGACAGCACACTGATAGGTAGTGAATGAAATGATTTGATTGTAAAGTGGACCTAACTGCTGCTTTACCCTAAGCAAAAATCGTTGTTGACCAGTTTGGGTAGTGTGTCTTGACAATAATAGTGGGTTTAGAGGGGAGCAGAAGAATCAAAATATTATAGATCAGGAGAATTAGTAAGGAAAAGCAGTGAAGTCAAGAGAACCAGTATTTAAGAATTCCTGAGATAAGCCAGTTCATATCTTAGGAGGAGCAATAATAGGGCATAAGAGGAAATGGAGTTGAATAGGTACTGCTCACACATCTTGAGTGCAACATGGAGATTTTATTTATAGTATCATAATTGTTAGGCAATCACAGGAGCCACATGTTTGAGGGAATATGTACAAGCCAGAGCAGAGCAAGGAAAGTCCTTAAGGAGACTGTTTCAGTAATCTAGTAATGAGATACAGAAGCAGAAGATTGGGTCTATAAGGTGTTCGATTAGAGATAAACTTTGAAAGGTCAACGAGGAGAACTTTGATTTTATATTTATAGGTTGCACCTTGTCCTGGGCACTTAGTAGTCCCTAAAGAGTAAACGTAGACCCAGACGACTGTTATTTGGAACATGTGTTTTTGCTTATAGATTAATAGTGTGTGTGTTTTTTTAACCCCAGTTTGTTAACAGACATAGAGAACATGTTAAACTCATATTTCTTTGCACCTGTGTGACATTGTGAACTAAATGGAAAAGATGTCTGTGCTAAAGGCACCCATGGAGTAAGACACATCCACAAATACTATGTTTAGGGAAAAGGCTAGAAATAGAAACTGAGAGTAGGAAATATTGCACCTGAGGGGCTGTTTTTGTATTGTGTTCCTTCTCCTTCTCTTGCTCACATACCCTTTGTTATACCTTTTTCCTTTCCTGAATTCTTTATTATTTCTTTCTTCTTTTCCACTTTCATTCTTTTTCTTTCATATCTTTGACTCAGGCCTGCCTGGGTTTTTTATTGGCATGTGTGGACATTGTTTAGTTCTGACGCACTCCTTTAGAGAGTTTTCTGATCATATCATAAGGTAAGGTTAAGAAGCATTATACATAATTTTATTATTATAAAATATAACATACCTATGGAAAAATGCATAAATCATCAGTGTATATCTTAACATGTTGTTATAAAATAAACATTCATGTAATCACCACCTGGATCAAGAAATAAAATACTGCTGTCACCCCAGAAGCTTCTAAAAGCCTTTGTATACCCTTTCCCAGTCACACCATATGTTTTAATTGGCACCATTTATTGCTGCAGTTGTTCTCGTCCTAACCCTTTTGATGCCTTTTCCAAACACATGACTTGCCCCAACCCCTAAGTTTACATTGATTGCGATAAGTAGGAAGCTGCCTTTAAATGAGAATGGTGATTTACCAGTTTTTGCCTGTCAGTCCTTTAATTCGCCTCTCCTGCCTCAAAGCCTATATACATCAGATAATAAAACACACACATACCCCACCTACTTAAAAAAAATCCACTTAACAGATGGATACCCAGCTCCCCTTCAGAAGAAAGTTAAGTACTGTCATAATCAGGGTAAAGGTGTCTGATGCCAGACCTGTGTTCCACCCCTCACTGCCATCTGCAATAAACACTACCTTTTAGGACTCTTAATTTTATAGTAAACATGTACATAACCATTCACATATTTTTTGGGAAGTAAATAATGTATGAATCCATCAAAGTAAAGTTACTAAAGACATGAAGTATTATTTTGCTCTATTTTGTGGCTATGATGTTTTGATCTATTTTATACAGAAGATTGTTTTTGTTTTGAAAGCATCTAAGATTCTAAATAGCCACTTTAAGGTCTGTAGGGCTAGAGATAATTGATTAAAAGTTTTGCAAAGAATATATTAGCTTGTGCTTGGAAGAAGCTTTAAATCATGTAGAAGAACCTAAAATGATACTGAATATACTGTTATATCTGATATAATGTTCAAAATTCAAAGTAGACATTTTTCTTTGTCATTATTTTAGTATTTATTTTTGAGTCGGTAATACATTCACATGGTCAAATTAAACAATATGAAAATGTATTCAATGAAAAGTGTTTCTTTCCCCAATCCCTGAACTTGTTCTATTAGTAATCAAAACCTTTTATAAAAGATACACTGTGAATTTGGGGCAAAGATGAAACTGATAGATGAAGAAAAGTGGAATGGAATAGAGAAGTAGACCTACACAAATATGGATATTTGATTTAGAACAAAGTAGCAACATAGAGTTTTGGAGTAAGGATGATCATTTCTACAAATGGTGCAGGTACTATTGGATATCAGTTTGGAAAATATGAAGACTGTCTCTTAACCTCACATAGTATAAAAGATAAGGTACAGGTGGTTTGTATGCCTAAATATGGAAGACAAAAATGTAAAATTTTAGAAAGAAGACTTATTTTTACAGAGTAGACTAGAAACAAGATTAATCCATATCCTTAAAAACTTTCCTGTCTGCCCCACCCTGTTTTCCCCTAGGAAATTTCAGAAACAATGAAATCAGTTATTTATACTGATAATTTGATTAAACCATGAAGTACTGTCTGTTTGAATAATTTAGAGTAAATTCAACTGATCTTCCTTCCCCTTTATATCAAATTAGATTATATACATTTAATTATGTAAAAGGTCCATATGCCCCTTTTCAATTTTACTTTTTTAGTATTTATTAACATCATTTTTATAAAACCGACATGTCCTTTAAAACAATATTGCATAAAACAGAAGTTTCAATGTACTACCAAGCAAGAATTCATGCACGTGTTAAAAAGTTAAGATATCTTATGTCTATATTCTTTCAGGGCAATTAAAGCATTTCAGGAGGTGCTTTATGTTGATCCCAGCTTTTGTCGAGCCAAGGAAATTCATTTACGACTTGGGCTTATGTTCAAAGTGAACACAGACTATGAGTCTAGTTTAAAGGTAGGTTGTTGGGTTTTTTTCAAGATACAATGTTTAATTTTGTGGGGTTTTTTTGTTTTTGTTGTTCTTAAATATCAGAGCATTGAGAAATGTTGGAATTTATATTGGCACTTTAAAAGAAAATTTGAAAATTCAGGTGACAGAACTGTTTATCAACTGTGAAGTAAAGTTTCAAGGTACAAAGTAGTTATGCTAAGACTTCCATGGTAACATTATACAATTATACTTTTAAAAAAATAGTTTTAAACTAAGATCTGTCATCAGGAAAGGGTGAAGGTTTCAATCTGTTTGGATATGTAAATAACTCCTCTAGAAATGATTTGCCACTGTAGAGTTCAGAACCAGCTGAATGGTTCTGAATGGATGTTTATCTGTGACCCAATCATTGACTATCTGTTTCCATGGGTCTCAGTACTTCTACCAGCAGAAGCACATCTTGTATTTAAATTAGAAAAAAGAATGTTCTCTGTAAGGCGTTTGGACTGTTGGTTTGTGAGCATAAACATTGTTGGGAAAAGATGATATGTTGTTGATTAACTTCCTATCCATGGAAATTTGATATTTCTCCAGTTTTTCATTTTTCATTGAGTTTTTTTTGCTATCTGAACCATCAATTTAGGTGTTACTGGGCTTTTTCTGAAAATAGTGCTTTCGTGCCCAACAGAGGAATTATGTTTTGAAAGGAGTAGCAGTTCTAGGAAAAAGTTTAAGTTTTTGTGAATTTATGATTATTGTTTATAATGGTTGTTGTATTCTGAATCTCCATTGCAGACTATCTTGATTCTAATGGAGGGGTGGTTGGGGAGATAAAGAATGACATTCAAGTAGATTGTAATTTGAGCTCACTAGTAAGGAACTACTGAAGGTTAAAAATAAAAAAAACTGTACTCAAGAGTGTCTAATTGTTCTAGATTTTTAAAGTAGAAAACTATTCAAGTACTGTTTCTACCTTACATGAGTTAAAAGACAATGCTTGGTGATGTGAAAGAGAGAGGGAGTACAACCAAAAACACTAAGAACAGTAGATTGCGAAGAATTTAGATCACACAGTGGTTGAAGGTAAGTGCAGTCTAGGAATAGGCTCCAGGGTAAGTGCAAGTAGTGTGGAGAAAGAGGGATGCCTGGAAGTTACCACTTTTCCTCAAGCTTAGAGTAGTAGCATTTTTGACACCATACTGCCGGACGTCAGTGGATATGAACTGGAAAATAAGTTTGTAAAGCTGTCTCACATTTTTTTGCAGTTTCTATTAGCTACCAAAGACTCTTAAAATGTCTTATAGTACAGAATAAACATTTAAGTATTTCACAATATTGTTACAACATGCTTATTATGTTGCAGAAGTGTTTTTGGTAGCAGTTTGGTAAATGTTACTTAGGAAATACATTTGAAGGGAAAAGCAATCAGATGTGTCCCAAATTATGGAATGTGACTATCCATGTATCAGTACAGTGATACCTTAAGTAATTCTAAAGATGCAAAATTCCATTTAAATGAAGGTGGCCATATTTAAAATCTCCTTTAATCAAGGGAAACAGTGTTTCATGGCTGATTGAAAGTGTTCTACTTATGCTTGGTGGGAACATTCCTGCATACCACTTCTATTTGTCCAGGTATAAAGTCTAAAAAGTCAAGTCATGGTGTTTTTAGCAAAATTGCCTTAAGTGAGGGCAGCCTTCTTTTGGGGGGACTTTTACCTTTAACGAGTCCATGATATTTCTCATCCCTAGAGTGTGAGGGTTTCGTTTGATTTTTATCTCATCCTGACGTTGACTTTTTCAGCCCTCTCTCTAGTATTCCTTACCTATTTTAAGAAGAATTTGGGCATGAACATTTTTAGTCAAAGAGGAAGAGGTATTTTAGTTTATTACTAAAGTGCTTAGCATTCAGAATAAGTGAAGGTAGGAATAGAAGGAATGATATCCCTCTTTAGGTGGTTTTCCATTTTTCTAATACTTCACCTTCATCTGGATAAATGTGGAACCTCTGATGACTTTTTCGCAACATTAAGCTGTTTTCTAGCACAGTGTGTTGGTATAGATGCTTTTTAGGCTGTAACCTCAGGAACTCCAACTCAAATTTGTTAAAATAATTAAAAATATGCTCATATGTGAAGTCTAGCCTTCAGGATTGGTTGATTCAACTGATACAAGGTTTCATCAAGGATTCATTTTCTTCTCAGTTTTGTATTGGCTTTTTCTAAAGGCTGGTTGCTCTCTTTGATATAAGATGGTTGCCAGGTGCAATCAAAGTGAAATGCATCCGTTTTCATATCTCATATAAAAAGATGTTATAGGGCAGTGGCTTAGGTGCTTAGTGTAATGCTGGCATGTAAGTGCATAGTAAACGTTGATGATCATTTCATGTAGGAGAAAGATCCTGGTTGCCTATTGATCTCTTCAAAAATACTTCACCTTGCATCTTATTGCCCAGAAATAGGCCACATGGCCATTCCTAATTGATTTCTTATCAAAGGAGATGTGGTTGCTCTTAGACCAGTTATGCCTAGTCTTTGAGCAGTGTTCAAATCTGTAAGTAGTTGTTATCCAATGGAGGGATAGGTTGGGTAAAAAGGATATTTTGGTATGGGGAGTGGTGTGAACAATCTGTCCGTTACAGATCAGATCTTCTCTACCCCATTTCCTTTCCCTCCGCCCAAGTATGTATAATACTTTTTGAATGGTAAACTAGTTAAATACAGCGTATTTTCATAATAGATTCCTTTTTTTTCACCCACACATGAAATAAATTGTAGGGCCTCCTGTTTTGTTTCTGTCACTGGTGATAACTTTCTCACAAAATGTGTCTCTGAAATTCTGTGTTGGTGCCGTGTAAACAGCTCTCAGAGCAAACAAACTTGGTTTTCAAAACTTTGACCCTGCCACATATCTTTGTGACCTTGGGTAAATTTCTGACTCTTGATTTTCTCTGTGTTTGAAGAACTAGAATAATTATAGCCACCCACATGATTGATATAAAGATGAATATATGTGTGTATTTGTTTTTATTTTCATATCACTAGTTTTGGGGGAACAGGTGGTGTTTGGTTGCATGGTAAAGTTCTTTAGTGGTAATTTCTGTGACTTTGGTGCACCCATCACCTGAGCCGTGTGTACTGTACCCAATGTGCAGTCTTTTATCCCTCACCCTCTTGCCCCTCTTCCCCCTGAGTCCCCAAAGTCCATTATCTCATTCCACGCCTTTGCATTGTCATAGTTTAGCTCCCACTTCTAAGTGAGAACATGTGATGTTTGGTTTTCCATTCCTGAGTTACTTCACTTACAATAATGGTCTCCAACTTCATCCAGATTGCTGCGAATGCCATTATTTCCTTCCTTTTTGGCTGAGTAGTGTTCCATGGTGTATATACCACATTTTCTTTATCCACTCAGTGGTTTATGGGCATTTGGGCTGGTTCCATATTTTTGCAATTGCAAATTGTGCTGCTATAAACGTGTGTGCAAGTGTCTTCTTTATATAATGACTTCTTTTCCTCTGGATAGATATCCAGTAGTGGGATTTCTGGGTCAAATGGTAGTTCTGCTTTTAGTTCTTTAAGGAACCACCACACTGTTTTTCATAGTGGTTGTACTAGTTTACATTCCCACCAGCAGTGTAAAAGTGTTCCCTTTTCACCACATCCATGCCAACATCTGTTATGTTTTGATTTTTAAATCATGGCCATTCTTGCAGGAGTAAGGTGGTATCGCATTGTGGTTTTGATTTGCATTTCCCTGATCATTAGGGCTGTTGAGCATTTTTTCCTGTTTGTTGGCCATTTGTATATCTTCTTTTGAGAATTCTCAATTCATATCCTTTGCCCACTTTTTGATGGGATTATTTTTTTTTTTTTTCTTTCTTTCTGATTTGTTTGAGTTCCTTGTAGATTCTGGATATTAGTCCTTTGTCGGATGCCTAGTTTGCGAACATTTTCTCCCACTCTATTGGTTATCTGATTACTCTGCTGATTATTTCTTTTTCGTGCAGAAGCTCTTTAGTTTAATTAGGTCCCATCTACTTACCTTTGTTTTTGTTGCATTTGCTTTTGGATTCTTGGTCATGAACTCTTTGCCTAATGTCTGGAAGAGTTTTTCTGATGTTATCTTCTAGAATTTATATCTTACAAATGAATTGTTTCAGCCCTTCTTTAGACTCAGTTATCTATCATGTAAAACAACCATAATTTGGGGCCAGCAGAGATACTGTTGGAGAAATAAATTTTCCTGTCTTAGAACTTAATCCTTGTATTTTTGTCCCTCTGCCCATCCTCAGAAATGCGAAGCTAATGCCCAGCAAACTTTATACTCATATGGCGTTATTTTTACGTTAAATTGACCAATAAAGATTTTATGTGTTTAGTGAGCAGTAGAGGTACCAATTCTTAATTTGTGAACTAGTTTAATATTATCTAAACCAGAGTCCATTTCAGGGTGACAGGTATTTTGTTGTTTTTCTTCTCTGCTTCAGCTAATATCCCCCCAAGCTGGGTTTGGTTGCCTAGTTAATGCCATACAGTTAATTCAGGGTTTGTTTTGTTTTTGTTTTTGTTTTTGTTTTTGTTTTGTTTTTGAGACAGAATCTCACTCTGTTGCCCAGGCTGGAGTACTGTGGTGTGATCTTGGCTCACTGCAACCTCCGCCTCCCAGATTCAAGCAATTCTTCAGTCTCAGCCTCCCGAGTAGCTGGGACTACTGGCATGCACCACCATGCCCAGCTAATTTTTGTATTTTTAATAGACGGGATTTCACCATATTGGTCAGGCTGGTCTCGAACCTCTGACCTCAGGTAATCCGCCTGCCTCAGCCTCCCAAAGTGCTGGGATTACAGGTACAAGCCACCATGCCCAACCTAATTCAGGATTTTTATTTCATTATCCTTTAATGATATTATTGACAGTTACTTATTTTCAGTATATATTTGAAGCAGTGTGCTACCATAACTTCAACAAAAGGATATTACTGTTGATAAATAGTTATATATAATGCCCCTAATTATATAATGC